CCCCAAAACCCCAAAACCCCAAAACCCCAAAACCCCATTTCTTTTTGAAGTATTTGAAATCAGAAATAATATAAAATGGAGAATAAAGATAATGAGGGCTCATTCTCTCCCAAAGGTTTGCTACTAGTTAATATGATATATAGCAATGGAAACCTCCGAATTTGAAGAGTCGAACCAATTCAACTTTACACAAAAGTAAGAATTCAGCATTTTCCAGCCTTTTGAAATGTCTCATTAAGTCTGTAGATACAACCAGATGTGCAGAACTAAGATAGAGAAGTTCTTATAGATGACTGAAATGAGCTCTATGCTGGGTTTACACAACAGCGTGACTCTTTTGAGAAACTTGTCAAACTCGACCAGGCTCAGAATAAAGGTAATCCATGATTTTTAGATCCTAGGCAGGTTCAAGAGACACCATATTAAACGAAGGACCGCCACCCTAACCTCTGATGATAACGAAAAGAATGTTCAGAAGGTCAAGCTGTACAATACTTTAGCAGAGTTTGTACTGCTGACTCAAAATTCCAAGCCGAAAGTTTTTAAATTTAATGGTGAAGAAGGGTCTTTTTCTCCAAAACAAAAAATTCCTACAAGACCTCCTCCTAATAAGTAAGGCACTAAAGTTCACCCCTATAGGCTCCAAGAAATGGCTAATCAGAGGCACCTGTCCCAGGGAGAGCCAGATCTCGAGAAAGAAAATGAAGGGGTTAATAATATCCAACCAAGTGGTTGGGGTGACATTGGCTCTCTCTTCTTTCAAGGTGACCAAAACAATGAAAGCAAGGTAGGTCCTCATCTCATAGTCTAGACTCGTCAAGGCCAGCATATTATAGAAATAAACCGTAGGCTATAGAGCTAAATTTTAGATGACCCTAACACTGAGGATGACAATAACGATAACTTCATCAATATCTCCGATACTGGAAATAGCTTTGAATATTCAGCAGATGAAAATGAGGGAAGCGAAACCAGTTTTAATAGCCCTCAAAGTTCCTTTTTCAAGGCTACCTCGACTCCTCTTAGCCGGAAAACGAAGACAAATGATGCTTCTAGGCAGCATCAGAAGTACATTTACAGCAACAAGACTATTAATAAGAAGAAAATCACTTCATCTCTCAAGCAGAGCTTAAACCGTAAGAGTGAGTCACAGGCTTTTTGGAAAAGCCATTTATTAGAAAACCAGTCAGAGTTGGACCCTAGCAAGTACCATTTGATATCCCCGGATGACAGGATCTCTGAGAATCCCTCTTTGGATACCATCAAGCGGTCATTGAGTCAGATAAACTTGAACAAGCAGAGGAGTTCGTATCATAAACGGTTCTTGTCAAAACCAAGTTTGAGCATTTCAAGGATTAACAGTTCAGCCTATTACAAGAGGAAGGGAAATCTGATAAAGAGTAAGCCCTGGTTTAATCTCTAGTGAAATTAGTCAACTTGAATAAGGAGTCATTGGAGACTTCGCAGCTCAGACGGAAGAGTATCTCCAAGAGCCGAATCACCAAGCCTCATACTATACAGCACAAATCTTCGAAAGGTATTTCTAGAACTGAGATTGTAGTCCACCCTGTGAAGTTGCACAAAAGTCGGATCAAGAAGGAAATCGAACGAGCAAAGGAAGCTGGCCATAAGATCCTCGAGAAAGACATTATGTATAAATATAAAGTTAGTAATTCAAAATTAGAGGGAGTTTCAAGGTACATTTTTGCCTCAATATTAGCCAAAACCCAACAACTGCAGGTCAAAGTGGAGTCCAAAACTTGCTCTACCTACAAAATGAAGAGGAGTACAACCATATTATGGTTGATTATGATGATAAGGCATTCAACGACAAACAGATTGGCTTCTCGAAAGATTTCAAAAGCCCACATACTTTGGTCAGCTCCACTTCCAATGATATTGATCCTGGTCGGAGACGAGTCAAAACTCCCATTGATCCAAATGAGGAATTTAAAAGAGAACAGAGAGAAGGATTAAGGACTTCAGGAAGTTATTCAATTGAGTCATTAAGGAACCATCAGAATGGACCACTTATACTGTCTAAGCTGGAATCCTCAGGTAGAATTACGCATAATACTAATCATTTGAAGGTGAAAGGGTCCAGATATCCTCAGAAAACTTCTAAGCTCTCTTCTAACATCTGCACAGTTGATGGTCTTGGTAATGATGTAGCCTATCAGAAATTCAACTCATATACGAATACTTAGAACTTCAGGTACCGGAGCTAATGGTCCTGTGGTTAATGGAACAAAATTTTTAGATTCAAAGAACATCTCTTGCCTCAGTTCGCCCTATTTGAACAAGCCGAGTGATTTCGGAAATAATTTTAACTACAATTATCAAGGAGAACCTGAAAAGCCTACTAAGTTTATGAACAAGACTGAAACTGCTGGGTTCAATAAGGTCAAAGCCTCTGAGGCTACTAAGAAACAGATCAGGAATCAGATGCTTGATTTAGACCTGATAAAGTTACCTTCTATAGGAAACGAATACGCTCATGCCACTAAACCTCACATAAAGTTACAAAATATTGGCACTTGTGATACTGGTAAGAATAGTATCCCCAGTCATCAGATAATTCAGCCAGCAGCTAGAGTACCTGCTGGTGTAAATCTTCAATCAAAGGATGATTATAAGCAATACTTTAACCCAATGTTGAACAAGACTCGGATTGATAACCTACCTCCTCTTCAGGAGATGTCAGTCCTTGACCAGAGTTATGAATCGAAGCGAAAGCAAACTGCTAATCAGCAACTTAGATCTCGTAGTAAGAACTATTATAACCTGGAGAATTGCAATTACCCAAGTGGGACTATGAATGAGTGTAAAGCTAGTAATAACAAGCTTGAAGAGAGCAAGAGTAATATGCCAAAGCCATACAAGTCTCCTACGCGAGAACATAAAAGATTACAGTCCAACAACACTGCTATCCCCATAGGGGATAGGGAGGTCGTTGTTGACACCTCTATCAGTGTTGTCTCCAGCATTGGAGGATCTGGCAAGGAAATTCTTATAAACACAGCCAACACTGCCATGAAATCAAGTGACAATTGTGTTTAAAAATTTGAATTTGTAAGCCAAATTTAGAAATTTTAGGTATAAAATGAAGAATAAAATTAATACGAAATGTAACATCGGAGGGTCTATATTGAAGGCTAGGGCTGGAAACCCTCTTAAGAGTGGTCAGATTGTCAAAAGAGAGAATGTGCCCAAAGTTATCAACAACATACCTAAGAGCAAGACTAAGACAGGGAAAACAAAGAGGTTCAAACCTATAATTCGAGGTGGTAAATAATGATTAGATCAAATTAATTCTGCCTAATTTTTCTTTAAAGAACGCCTCTAAAGCAAATTTTTAAGGGTTTCATCTAAAGTTTTAAGTCTTTGCCCGAGATTAGTTAATCAAGTGGTATAGAGACGATCCGACCAGGGCCTAAAATAAATAAATTATACAATTTTATCTCAGCTAAAGGTAAGCTCTATCTCAATGACTAATGTAGGCACAGGAAATAGGCGGGCAGATACTTATTCCTACAGAATTAACAACTTAAATCGAGTTAAGAGTAGAGGTGGCAACCGACCTAGTAATAAGCAAACAGATATTGTAATTCCTGAAGATGGATCTGGGAATAATTCAGCTAGACTATCTTCCAAAATCAAGAGGACTGAAAGTAAGTCTGGCTATTCAACCTATAGTCGCTACTGCTGAGATTAAGAAGCAATTTGCAGGCCGGAATCATCATAAGAACTCAGTTGAGTCTAGTAAAATACCTAGAACGAGTCACTTGCTTCATGCTAAGACAAGTGATAGAGCAAATTTTAATTAAATTTAACTCAATTATTCTACACTTTTATGGGGTTTTGGGGTTTTGGGGTTTTGGGGTTTTGGGGTTTTGGGGTTTTGGGGTTTTGGGG